AACCACATGCTATAGTTGTAACTATTCTTAGGCTTGTTCTTTCTGATCCTAATCCTTCTAGAAGTTTCGTGAATTCGCATCTACATTTTTGTTGCTAAATTTAACGAAAGCCCAAATCTAAATCCTCTCAAACTTCTAATTCCACAACTTTCTGCAATTGTAATCACGTACTTAACTGGTAAATTCTTCTGTTTCTACTAGTTTCTGATAGAAGCCTTCCAAAGTCTTCTAAAATTTGAATATAATTTTGTAATGGTAGTTCTTTTTGCTACCTATGTTGCCTCCAAATTACTTAACTCTTTTAGTGTCGGAATAGAAGTTTTCCAGTATCTTGTAGTCATAATTCTTCTGTTCCTTCTAGTATTCGAATAGAAATAGTTTTGTTCTAAAACTTTTTGAATTCGCGTTATTAACTTCTTTCTTGAAATATTTACAAAATGAATCCGAAGCTGAAATTTTTAACCCTTCTAGTTTCCAAACAGAAGAAATTCAGAAACTTTGGACTTCAATGGAGTACTGTAATCGTAATTCTTCTGTTCTTCTCGTTTTCGAATAAAATTCTTTATCTTCTTGTTTCTGAATATTATTCTGCTAAAAGCTTTTTGAGTTCATGTCAATTTTGTCATCGAAGTCGAAATTATTTAATCCTTTTAATTCTATATTTTCTGAAATTCTATTAATTACGTACTTAAACGGTAATTCTTCTGTTACTTCTAGTTTCTGAATAGAAGCTTTCCAAAATTTTCTAAAAGTTGAATCTCATTTTGAACTGGTTGAAGGTGAAATTTTTAATAGTTTTAGTTTCGGAATTTCAAAAAACTTTTGGCCCTTCTAGAATTTTGATAGAATTCTTCGTTTTTTTTTTTAATTTTTCTCCTGACACCGTTTTCTCTCTATAATTTCGCCTGAAAACGAAATTCTCTGTTATAGGCTCTCAAAATTTTCTTGAACCACATGCTATAGTTGTAATTATTCTTAGGCTTGTTCTTCTTCTAGAATCAGAATTCTAATCCTTCTAGAAGTTTCGTGAATTCGCATCTACATTTTTGTTTCTAAATTTAACGAAAGCCCAAATCTAAGTCCTCTTAAACTTCTAATTTCACAACCTTCTGGAATTGTAATCACGTACTTAAGTGGTAATTCTTCTGTTTCTTCTAGTTTCTGATAGAAGCCTTCCAAAATTTTCTAAAATTTGAATATAATTTTATAATTGTTGTTCTTTTTGCTACCGTATGTTGCCTGCAAATTACTTAACTCTTTTAGTGTCGGAATAGAAGTTCTCCGGTATCTTGTATTCATAATTCTTCTGTTCCTTCTAGTATTCGAATAGAAATAGTTTTGTTCTAAAACTTTTTGAATTCACATTATTAACTTCTTTCTTGAAATATTTACAAAATGAATCCGAAGCTGAAATTTTTAACCCTTCTAGTTTCCAAACAGAAGAAATTCAGAAACTTTGGACTTCAATGGAGTACTATAATCGTAATTCTTCTGTGTCTTCTCGTTTTCGAATAAAATTCTTTATCTTCTTGTTTCTGAATATTATTCTGCTAAAAGTTTTTTGAGTTCATGTCAATTTTGTCATCGAAGTCGAAATTATTTAATCCTTTTAATTCTATATTTTCTGAAATTCTATTAATTACGTACTTAAACGGTAATTCTTCTGTTACTTCTAGTTTCTGAATAGAAGCTTTCCAAAATTTTCTAAAAGTTGAATCTCATTTTGAACTGGTTGAAGGTGAAATTTTTAATAGTTTTAGTTTCGGAATTTCAAAAAACTTTTGGCCCTTCTAGAATTTTGATAGAATTCTTCGTTTTTTTTTTTAATTTTTCTCCTGACACCGTTTTCTCTCTATAATTTCGCCTGAAAACGAAATTCTCTGTTATAGGCTCTCAAAATTTTCTTGAACCACATGCTATAGTTGTAATTATTCTTAGGCTTGTTCTTCTTCTAGAATCAGAATTCTAATCCTTCTAGAAGTTTCGTGAATTCGCATCTACATTTTTGTTTCTAAATTTAACGAAAGCCCAAATCTAAGTCCTCTTAAACTTCTAATTTCACAACCTTCTGGAATTGTAATCACGTACTTAAGTGGTAATTCTTCTGTTTCTTCTAGTTTCTGATAGAAGCCTTCCAAAATTTTCTAAAATTTGAATATAATTTTATAATTGTTGTTCTTTTTGCTACCGTATGTTGCCTGCAAATTACTTAACTCTTTTAGTGTCGGAATAGAAGTTCTCCGGTATCTTGTATTCATAATTCTTCTGTTCCTTCTAGTATTCGAATAGAAATAGTTTTATTCTAAAACTTTTTGAATTCACGTTATTAACTTCTTTCTTGAAATACTTACAAAATGAATCCGAAGCTGAAATTTTTAACCCTTCTAGTTTCCAAACAGAAGAAATTCAGAAATTTTGGACTTCTATGGAGTACTGTAATCGTAATCCTTCTGTGTTTTCTCGTTTTCGAATAAAATTCTTTATCTTCTTGTTTCTGAATATTATTCTGCTAAAAGCTTTTTGAGTTCATGTCAATTTTGTCATCGAAGTCGAACTTATTTAATCCTTTTAATTCTATATTTTCTGAAATTCTATTAATTACGTACTTAAACGGTAATTCTTCTGTTACTTCTTGTTTCTGAATAGAAGCTTTGCAAAATTTTCTAGCGTCTTAGGCTATTTCTTTCTGACTCTAATCCTTCTATCTTCTTCTAGTTTCTAATAGAAGCCTTCCAAAATCTTCTAAAATTTGAATATAATTTTGTAAAGGTAGTTCTTTTTTGCTACCGTATGTTACCTCCAAATTATTTAACTCTTTTATTAGTATCGGAATAGAAGTTTTCCGGTACCTCGTAGTCATAATTCTTCTGTTCCTTCTAGCTTCTAGAACAATTCTATTCGAATACTAGTTCGAATAGAATTGTTCTAAAACTTTTTGAATGCAGGTTATTAACTTCTTTCTTGAAATACAATATGACTCCGAAGCTGAAATTCTTTAACCCTTCTAGTTTCCAAACAGAAGGAATTCAGAAATTTTGCACTTCAATGGAGTACTGTAATAATAATTCTTCCGTCTTCTCGTTTTCGAATTAAATTATTGTTTTCGAATTAATATGTAATTAGTGTGTAATTTTACATCAAAGGCCAAATTCTCTGTTTTAGTGGTCCAGAAACTTCCAGTTCTAATTCTTTTTTATCTCTTCCTTTTTGAAAATTATTCTTCTAGAATTTGCTTGAATTCACGTCAATCTTTTTTCTACATTTAACAAGCTTCGAAATCGAAATTGTTTAATCCTTCGATTACACATTTTCTGGACCTCTACTAATTAAGTCCTTAGTTTTGATTTTGATTATTATCCTTCTAGAAGTTTCTTGAATTCGCACCAACATTTTTGTTTCCACATTTAACGAAGGCCTAAATCTAAAACTTCTAAACCTTCTAATTCCACAATCTTCTGGGCTCCAATCAAGTACTTAAATTGTAATTCTTCTGTTTCTTCTGGTTTCTGATAAAAGTCTTCCAAAATCTTCAAAATTTGAATACCATTTTGTATTACCGGAATTTTTCCGGTAACTGGTAGCCATAGTTCTTCTGTTTCTTCTACTATTCGAAAGGAATTCTTCTACAACTTTATGAATTGATGTCACCTAACTATTTTTCCATATACGAATTTATCTGAGAACGAAATACTCTATTTTACGCTTTGAAAATTTTCTTGAAATTTAATCTAGCGCTATAATTGTAATTCTTCTTACTTTTCTTGATTTTGATTATTATCCTTCTAGAAGTTTCTTGAATTCGCACCAACATTTTTGTTTCTAAATTTATCGAAAGTCTAAATCTAATACTTCTAAACCTTCTAATTCCACAATCTTCTGGGCTTCAATCAAGTAGTTAAATTGTAATTCTTCTGTTTCTTCTGGTTTCTGATAGAAGTCTTCCAAAATATTCAAAATTTTAATACCATTTTGTATTACCGGAATTTTTCCATTAACTGGTAGCCATAATTCTTCTGTTTCTTCTAGTATTCGAATATAATTTTTCTACAACTTTTTGAATTCATGTCACCTAACAATTTTTCCATGTACAAATTCATCTGGGAACGAAATACTCTATTTCAGGCTTTGAAACTTTTCTTGAAATTTAATCTAGCGCTACAATTGTAATTCTTCTTACTTTTCTTGATTTTGATTGTTATCCTTCTAAAAATTTCTTGAATTTACGCCAACATTCTCTATTTCTACACCTTCTTATTCTACAATTGTCTAGAGTTCTAAGTACTTAAATGGGTATTTTTGTCTTCTTTCTAATTCTAAAAGTTGAATTACGTCATGTCGCAATTCTTTAACTCTTTTAATGCCCGAATAGACGCTTTCCAGCAACTTTTGGTCGTAATTCTTTTGCTCATTCTAGTTTTCTATAAAAATTCTTCTAGGACTTCTTGAACTCGTGTCAACAAAAACCTTTTTTCAGTTGCAATTTCATCTGAAAGAGAAATTCCAAAATCTTCTGAGTAAAAATCTTCTAGAATTTTCTTGATTTCACGTAAATTTTTTCTAAGTACACTGAAGTTAAAATTCTCTTGTCTCTTTAAGTAGAAGTGTTCCACAATCTTATTGTACTCTAACCACTAAAATAGTAATTCTTCTGTACATTCTAGTTTTGGATTGGAAATTTTTTAGAACTTTTGAATCACTTCACGTAATTTCTGTCATGAAATATAATGTTGAAATATAGTTGAAATTCCATTTCTCTTTTTGTTTTGGAATAGATGCCTTCTAGAATCTTCTAGAAATTAGATAGTTTTTTTCTTTATCAAGCTCAGTCCTCAGCCTATTGAGGGAATTTGAGCAGAAGATATATTAGTTCTTAGACAAGATATCCTGTATAGGAAAAATCAAAAAAGGAATTATTCGTAAAATGTCGTCAGGCACACAATTTTCCGAACGACACCCTATATATTATTATCTACTACACCACCCCCATTCCCTTGTTTCAGGAGAGACACCCTCAACTCGCGCCTGCCCCGCTCCTCCAGCATCGACTCCATGGTGGAGGCCGTCTGGGCCGAGAGCGTGGAGGCCGCCGCCGAGCCGGCCGCCACCCCCGAGAAGCGGCCGTCATTAAGGCCCGACAGGCCCTTGGCGCTTGTATCTCCTTCCGTCGGCCGCCGGATGAAAGGGCAGCGTGGGATTAACGGTGAGTGGACTCTTGGGAACGGCACTACACTATAACGTTGCGACTCGTTACAGTCATGAAGTTTACAAGTCGACGCTTTATGAAAAGACAAAGGTCAAATGGGTAGTTACCAGCGGATGCTAGCGTTATCTGGGGATCTTTCCGTGGGCTGGGGTTTTAATTCGTATATAGAAAAGTTGAAATGAAAAGTTCCTGGCGGGATAGGAGATGTGAAATTTGAGAATGATTCTGCGGCTTCGGGGGTGAGGGTTTGACGTTGGGGGGGTGGATTGTTGGGGAAGGACCGGAAACACCGGATTTGCCTGACAGGGTTCCGGGTTGGATTGTGTGAAGTGTGTTACGAATGTGGTTCGGTGTGTTTATGGTATTGAAGTTGGGGTTAGTGGAGGGGTTAAGAGCGTCGCTGAAAGTAGAGTGGATACAATAGTGTACGTTTTTCAAAGTATAATACCTCAGTATGAAATTTTTATTATTGAATTAATTTTTATTTCAAAAAATACAATTGTTGTAAAGACGTACTTTATTGTTTTTATTTGTTCGCACATAAATTATTTCTTGGTTCTTTTGCTATGTTTAACAACTAAATAACATATTAACTTTTAGTAAATAATTTTAATTAAAAATCGGTCTTATTTTAGCATGTATTAGCCCCGCCCACCCACCCTCTCTTTTTTAGGGGTATGTCATTTGCCAAAATCAGTCTTATCGTAGCTAGGCTTAATACCTGCTAAAATAAAAGGATTTTGGCAAATGACATAGCCTCAAAGAATAGAGAGGGTGGGTGGGCGGGGCTAGTAGTTGGTAAAATAAAACTCATTTTAGCAGATACTAGTCCCGGAAGTATTCATCCATTAGGTAAATTACATTTTTTTCGTAATCTACATCATAAAGAATTTTTTTATTTTTTGGGACTCCCGAACCCCAGTACATGACGTACCGAAGAGTTAATCCGCCATTTTCCAGACACCCGGTACAGTGGAAAATTTCTTTTTTGAAAAAGTCGTCTAAAAATTCTCAAAAAATTCAGAGTTATAGATCTTGATGTGCTGATTCCAAAAATATAGCGTGTTTAGGATTCAGAGCAATATTTTCGAAAAATTCGGAGTGAAATTTGAATTTTTTGAAATTTAAATTTGTGGTGTTTAATAAAGAAACTGGTAGTTTTGACGTAGCTGTTTTGTCGGGGTACCAAGCTTTATTTTTTGAAGCATTTTTCAAAGAAGGGGAGTACTGTGGCGGCAGAGTTCATTTCTTCAGAATTTTGAGACAATTTAAATCTTGTGTTATTGGCTATGACTCTAACTGTTAAAGATGCACACCTGCCTGCTACTGAAATTTAGGTTCAACAAGACGATGCACCGCCTCATTATGTTTTTGAGCATTATTTAAATAATATTGTACTTTTAACGTTCATAGTTAATTATATAAATAATATTAGCCCCTGGCACTCTAATATTTTTATACAAGATGAAAGTTTATGTAATATGGCGGTCCGAATCACATACGGATGAAGTTAGGTACAACGGCGCAGTTTACCCAACAACAACAAACTCTATAAAATACTACTGTAAAAAAAAACATGGTTGACACATTCACGACAACTAAAATTAACTAAATAACTGAATTATGTCATTATTCTGTTATGATTTCTTTATTACAGGACTGCAATAAACGACGCATGGTTTTAACATGTAGAACTAAAATTCTAAAAAGTAAAATGACAAATATCACGATTTTTTTATTGTCAATGTATAGTCGAAATTTCATAAAACGAATTTTCTTCCTTTTTTTAGTTTTTAAACTTTTATTAATTTAATTTTAGTTCTTTTAGTCAATTTGGTTTTAGTTCTACGGTTAATTAAAAAAATGCTACAAAGTTATTTAAAAAACTTCCCTCGCCCCTAGTAAAATTTAATTTTTCGAAATTTTATTTAAACAAATATGCAAGGGAGGTCATTTAAGGACTATATTCTAAAATTATTCTTAACTAGAGATGTACCGACTGTAGGTCTGGCCGACTAACCGACTAGCCGATTGTTCGGCCAGTAAAAACCGACTAGTCGGCCGACTGTTCGGCTTTGCTAAAACCGGTTTATAAATGCGACAGACAATGTGTTTTTTTTTATTTCTCTGACTACCTTAAAAATTTGTTTATTTTAATAAAAGGAATATCTAAAGTTCCTTTGTTTTCCAAAAAATGTATTAAATTTCTTTGGATAATTTTAACATTTAATTTTTTTTTAGTAACTCAGTACAAAAATAAAGAATAACACAATTTAGGGCCAGTTTATACAATATTTTAATTGATATTAAGTTGACCGCGCATTTAACAAGGCCATTAACGACGTCTGATTGGCGTAGGGTCGGTCACATGGTACTTTAAGGCGGGGTTAAAAATTAAATCGCAATTAAATATTCAATTGAGGTTCTGTAAACCGGGTTTAATTGTTTTATATACTATTTTAATTTTAATAAAAAAAGCCGACCGGTCGGCTGTTTAGCCGACCAGTCGCCGACTGTAGCCGACGATGAAAAATGGCCGAATAGTCGGCTTATCCGACCGGTCGGCCACTAGTCGGTACATCCCTATTCTTAACTATACAGAATAGGGGTGGGTGGGCGGAGTCACTTTTCACTTTGTTTTAAATTTTAGGTTCTACAACTTATCAAAATACGTCAGTGAAATAGATAAAAGAGGTGGGCGGGGCTGAGTTTAGCTTTTTTCTAAAGAGTCTTGCAAGCAAGCGGTAGCCCCTCCCACCTACCCATTCTTCATTTCAATGACTACTCCTAATATTGTTCAGTCTTATCTTATCAAGTGCTAGCCCCGCCCACCCACCCTCTATTTTCTTAGGGCTATGTCGTCTGCCAAAATTAGTTTTATCTTAGCAAATTCTAGGCCCGCCCACCCACCCTCTATTTTTCTAGAGGCTGTATGATTTGCCAAAATTAGTCTTATCTTAGCAAGTACTAATAAAAAATGAAAAACTGAAAATTGTAAATCGAAAATTGAAAGAAATGAATAACTGAAAAATTAAAAATTGAGAACTGCTAAAATTGCGGACTGAAAAATTGCAAAATCTAAAAATTGAAACAATAATTTAGTAAACATTATATTGTATTAAAAATATGTAATCCTGGATTCTATTTATTTAATAATATAAAATCCAACTTTAGTTCTTCAGACCCAATAAGAATGAATGATCAAAGCAAAATAGGGGTGGGTGGGCGGGGTCACTTTTTACTTTGTTTTAAATTTTAGATTCTACAACTTGTCAAAATATGTCAGTGAAATAGAGAAAAGAGGTGGGCGGGGTTGAGTTTAGCTTTTTTTCAAAAGAGTCTTACAAGCAAACAGTAGCCCCGCCCACCTACCCACTCTTCATTTCAATGACTACTCTTAATATGGTTCAGTCTTCCCTTAGCAAGTGCTAGCCCCGCCCGCCCACCCACCCTCTATTTTCTTAGGGCTATGTCGTCTGCCTAAATTAGTTTTATCTTAGCAAATTGTAGGCCCGCCCACCCACCCTCTATTTTTCTACAGGCTGTGTGATTTGCCAAAATCAGTCTTATCTTAGCAAGTACTAATACAAAATGAAAAACTGAAAATTGCAAATCGAAAAATGAAAGAAATGTATAACTGAAAAATTAAAAATTGAGAACTGGTAAAATTGCGGATCGAAAATTGCAAAATTTAAAAATTGAAAAAATTTAGTAAACATTAAATTGTACTCAAAATATGTAATCCTAGATTCTAGTTATTTATCATTATAAAATCCAACTTTCTTTCTTCAGACTCAGTAAGAATGAATGATCAAAGCAGAATAGGGGTGGGTGGGCGGGGTCACTTTTTACTTTGTTTTAAATTTTAGATACTACAACTTATCGGTCAGTGAAATAGAGAAAAGAAGTGGGCGGGGCTGAGTCTAGCTTTTTTCTAAAGAGTTTTACAAGCAAACAGTAGCCCCTCTCACCCACCCACTCTTCATTTCAATGACTACTCTTAATATTGTTCAGTCTTACCTTAGCAAGTGCTAGCCCCGCCCACCCACCCTCTATTTTCTTAGGGCTAACTCATCTGCCAAAATTAGTTTTATCTTAGCAAATTCTAGGCCCGCCCACCCACCCTCTATTTTTCTAAAGGTTGTGTGATTTGCCAAAATCTGTCTTATCTTAGCAAGTACTAATAAAAAATGAAAAACTGCAAATTGCAAATCGAAAAATGAAAGAAATGAATAACTGAAAAAATCAAAATTGAGAACTGGTAAAATTGCTGATCGAAAATTGCAAAATATAAAAATTGAAAAAAATTACTAAACATTAAATTGTACTCAAAATATGTAATCCTAGATTCTATTTATTTATCAATATAAAATCCAACTTTCGTTCTTCAGACTTAATAAGAATGAATGATCAAAGCAGAAAACGGGTGGGTGGGTGGGGTCACTTTTTACTTTGTTTTAAATTTTAGATTCTACAACTTGTCAAAATAAGTCAGTGAAATAGAGAAAAGAGGTGGGCGGTGCTAAGTTTAGCTTTTTTCTAAAGAGTCTTACAAGCAAACAGTAACCGCGCCCACCTACCCACTCTTCATTTCAATGACTACTCCTAATATTGTTCAGTCTTATCTTAGCAAGTGCTAGCCCCGCCCACCCCCCCTCTATTTTCTTAGGGCTATGTCATCTGCCAAAATTAGTTTTATCTTAGCAAATTCTAGACCCTCCCACCCACCCTCTATTTTTCTAGAGGCTGTATGATTTGCCAAAATCAGTCTTATCTTAGCAAGTACTAATAAAAAATGAAAAACTGAAAATTGCAAACCAAAAAATGAAAGAAATGAATAACTCAAAAATTAAAAATTGAGAACTGGTAAAATTGCGGATCAAAAAATTGCAAAATTTAAAAATTGAAAAAATGTGATAACCATTAAATTGTACTCAAAATAATAAATCCTACATTCTATTTATTTATCAATATAAAATCCAACTTTCGTTCTTCAGACTCAATAAGAATGAATGATAAGAAGCAGAATAGGGGTGGGTGGGCGGGGTCACTTTTTACTTTGTTTTAAATTTTAGAGTCTACAACTTTTCAAAATAAGTTAGT